GGGACACCCTGTGGCTGTCCCCACCTGCAGCTCACCCCCCAGATGTTGGCAGGGTTTCAGTGATGCTGAGGAGCACGGCTGGGGGTCAGGCAGGGCCAGTCGTACCCCCAAGGTCACACCCCCACCCCCACACACCCCTCTGTCCCCAGTGCGGGTTCCTTGCCGTTGGCACCACGACCACGGACTGAAACAGGAACTTACTTCAACTTCACTTTATTGTTTTCTTAATAAACTTCCTCTCCCCTGGACGAATATAGTGTTACAGTCGTTAGCTTATCTCGTACTTGTGCAGTCCTTACACGCTACGCTAACAGCGATGGAGCCCAACAGGAGGAAAATAAAAACAACCCAGAAACTACGATAGAAAGGCACTTCGAGACCGTTAAAATACTGATGTCCTGGAATGTGCAACAACAAACCGATGAGGAGCGAGGAGACGTTTCACCGGCCGGGGCGGCCTGGTCGAGGGCCCGCAGCCATGCTGGGCTAGGGCAGCGCCGGGCGGCCGCCGGTGAGGGCAGGGAGACCGGCTCCCTGCGGGGCACGCGGGGCTCCTTCAGCACGGGGGGCGGGACTGGGGAGACCCCCTTGGCTCGGAGCGAGCGGGACCTGTGTGACCCCGGGGGGGCTCCGAGCTGCGCCCGCGCTGAGGCTGGGCACGCTGCCCCACGGCCGGGGGCTCACCCGGGAGCATCCCACCGCTGCACCCCGAGGAGCGGGCGCCCGGCAGCCGCTGCCGGCCGTGCCCGCGCTGCCCGCATGCGCTCGCGGTGCGTGGTTAGGTATGAACGTAGCTAGAGGGGGGCAGTGCCCCGGCGAGCGGCACACGCGGCCGTGTGCCTTGTCACGGGAGGGCCGGGGAGGCGGCGGGACGGGGCGGCCGTGGGGAGGGAGCGGGGAGGAGGCGGGCGGGCGCCAGGCCGGCGAGTGCCCAGCCAGCTGGGCCCGGCACGGGGTGCCGTGGCTGCGGCACTGCCCGCGGCCGTGCCGGCCGTGCGGGGTGGGATGGCACGGCCGGGCACAGCTCGGGGCTGCGGAGCGGCCGGTCCCCCGGCTGTCGCCCCGCTGTCCGTGCGGCAGGAGCCTGGGGCTGCAGCCCCCCACAGCAGCACCGAGGCGTCGGGCAGGGAGACGCCGAGTCAGCGGAAGCAGGAGAGCCCAAGCGGGACCCTGTCGGAGCAGGGGGCTGGTCGAGAAATAAATAGCGGCGTATCCGGCTGCCCAGGGCCGGGGGGGAGAGGGGGCAGGGGGACCCCCCTGTGCCCCACCTGCCTCCAGCACGGGGTCGCAGCCGGCTCCGGCCGCCGAGGGATTATTGCTTTTCTCAGAAGAGTCCGTTCTTCTTTCGTGACGGGTAAAAGCACGAGCGAGGCCCCGCCGGGGCTGCAGGGGGATGAGGGGGCCGTGCCCCCCGTCCCCAGACGGGAGCGGGATCTGCCCACGGGGCCGGCGGCGGACCCCGGGCATCGTCGGGCCCCTCAGTTGACGGCGGCGGGTTTGAGCAGCAGGGAGCCGGGGGGGATGAGCACCCAGCCGGGGGGCAGCGCCTCGGGGCTGCCCCCCGAGCTGACACCGGCCGAGAGGTCGAGCACGGCCCCCGGCAGCAGCGCCAGGCTCTCGGGGGGCACCCGCGGCCGCCCCGGCTCCGTCCTTTCGCCCCTCTCCTTCCGGCTCTCCAGCCCCTTGCCCGCCTTGGGCGGCCGCCCCTCAGGCCCGCCGCCCTTCTCCCCCTCGGCCTTGGCCCCGCCGGCCAGCAGCGACATGACGGGCAGCCCCAGCCCCGCCGCGAAGGGCGAGGGCAGCAGCGGGCTCTTGGCCAAGTTCAAGGGGCCGCCGTTGAGGGGCAGGACGGGGCCGGGCAGAGCGGGCAGCGCGCCCGCAGCCCCGCAGCCCAGGGCGCTGAGGTCGAGCGGTGCCGGTGCCAAAGGGATGGGCAGCGCCGGCAGCCCCGGCGGAGCGAAGAGGGCGGCGGGGTTGGGGATGACGAGCTGCGCCCCATTAACGTAGGGCACCTCCGCCGAGCCCAGGGGCGTTTTGGGAGGCGGGTGGACCTTGAGCATCTCCGGGTGCTCGGGGGACACAAAATGGCCGTGGGCTTTGATGTGCTTGCGGAGGGAGCTGGGGTCGGTGTAGCGCTTGTGGCAGCCCGGCATCTTGCAGGAGTAGGGCTTCTCCACGTAGTGCGTGCGGGTGTGCTTGAAGCGGTCGCTGGAGTTGGAGTAACGCTTGTTGCAGCCTTCGTAGGGGCAGATGTAGGGCTTCTCACCTGCGGGACAGCACCGGGTCTGCCAGGGTCTGCCAGCCCTGCCGTGCCCCCCGCGTCTCCCCGAGCCCCCCGCTGCCCCAGCGAGCGCAGGGCGGGGGCTGCGCTGACCTGTGTGCGAGCGGTTGTGGATTTTCAGGTTCTCCAGGCGGGAGAAGCTCTTGTTGCAGGTGGGGCAGCGATGCGGCTTCTCGTTGGTGTGCGTCCGGATGTGGATCAGCATCTTGTACCTGCCGGGATTGGGGCAATCACAGAATCATGGAATGGGTTGGGAAGACCTTAAAGCTTGTATAATTCAAACCCCCTGCCATGGGCAAGGACACCTCCCACTATCCCAGGTCCTGGCCAGCCTGGCCTTGGACACTTCCAGGGATCCAGGGGCAGCTACAGCTTCTCTGGGCACCCAGTGCCAGGGCCTGCCCACCCTCACAGGGAACAATTTCCTCCCAATATCCCATCTAAATCTCTCCTCTTTTAGTTTAAAACTGTTCGCCCTTGTCCTATCACCATCTGCCGGTGGAAGCATCGGGGAGGGAATGCTAGGGAGGGAGTCAGCCCTGCCTTCCAGGGTAAGTCGTTGTCCTGGTGCCTTGGCTATGGGGTGGGAGAACAGGGACATCCAGGCCAGCACAGTCACCCAGCCCCCCCAGCACCTCGCACCCTGCATGAGAGGGAAGCAGGGACAGATGGAAACTTCCCCTGCATATCCCCAGTGCTGGGCTCCTGCCTCCTCACAGCAGCCCCCCAGAGATCCCCTGGAGCCCCCCATGCCCACCTGGCATTGAAGCCCCTGCCATGGCGGGCACAGCCCTCCCAGTGGCAGCAGTACCCCGCGTCCTTCTCGGGTTTGACGTGGAAGTCGTTGACGTGGTCCACCAGGTCTTGCAGGAGGTCGAAGAACTGGTTGCACTGTGGGCAGGAGGCTGGGGGTGAGGGAGCCCAGCAGGGGGGGCACTAGGGGGGCCAGTCCCCCCATCATGGCCAGCACCTGCCCCCCACCCCATCCCAGCTCCCACCTGCACCCTGTGTGCAGCAGCACCAGCATTTGGGGAAATGGAAATGGCCCTTTGCATGACCCCCAGCCCCGTATCACCCCCCAGCATCTTTGCACAGCCCCCATCTCCCCATCACCACCTTTCCAGCCCTACTGTCCCTGCTTGGCCTCCCAGCCCCAAAACTTGCCCACAGCCCCAAAGAGCTCTGCCATGGCCTTCCAGCCCCATGTCCTCTCCCCAACCCCAAAATTCCCCTGTGTGCCCCCCATCCTTGCAATGCCCATGTGGTGTCCCAGCCCCCTCATCACCCCCTCCACCCCTCAAAGCTCCCACACACCCCCACCATAACCCCCGACGGCCCCAGCCCTCCCTGCTGACCTTGGACCAGCGGCAGACGAGCTGCTTGGGCAGGGGCAGCTCGGGGGGGAGCCGTTTCTCCTTGCTGGGGGGCAGGAAGGCGGCGGGGGGCAGGTGCAGGGCCCCCCCGGCTCCCAGCGGCAGGAAGAACTGGAAGGAGCTGGGGAGGCCGTCGATGTAGCGCAGGGACTGGAAATCCTGGAGCAGAGTCCAGAGGGAGGAGCAGTGGGGGACAGGGCTAGGTTGGATGGACGCCCCCCGAGCCCTTCAAGAGATTCCTCCCAGCCCCCCAGGAACCCCAGAACCTCGCAGAGATCCCTCCACGCTCCCCAGAAAATCCCCAGATCTGCCATCCCCCTCCCCCCAAGGGACCCCAAAACCCCATGGAGACCCCCAGAGTCACCCCAAAGAGACCTTCCAGGAGCCGCCCCGGGGATGCCTCTGGGGTCAGGGGCCGGGGGGGCCAGGCAGGACATTGACCCCGGGCTGTGTGTACACCGGCAGCACCGGGCACGCTGCCGAGGTCGGGAGCACCATCCGGGCACAGTCCCCACCGCTGGGGACACCACGGGGGGGCCACGGCCGTACTTACGTGTGGGGTGAGGGGGCCGGGCAGGTCCCCGCTGCCCTGGCGCTCAGGGGACAGCGAGGCACTGCCAGCCGGAGACTCCCCCCCCGAGCGGGGCGAGAGGCTGAGGTCCACCACCGGCACGGCGGCCGGGAAGCGTCCATCCCGCGGCTCCCCCAGCCTGGAGTGTCCCAGGAGCCCGGGCGACGGCGAGGCTGGCACGGCCCGGCGACCCCCCCGGCTGCCCCCTCGGCCATCCCCGGCCGGCGGGGTGTCCGGGCGCTGGGGAGCACGGGGTCGGGGGCCGGAAGGGCCCCGCTTCTCGCGGGCAGCTCGCAGCTTGGAGATGCTCAGCTTGAGGTCCAGGGGCTCCTCCAAGGAATGCATGGTGCCGGGGTAGGCTCTGCGAGGGACACCCAGGGGTCACTGCAGGGCCGGGGGGCACCAGTGCCACCCAGAGCATCGCCCCAGCCCGGCCCCATGGCAATGCCCGCTCTGCTCCGGGCCGGAGGACACGGTGCTGGCACGGAGACCGTGCCGTCCCTTCCGGCCACCCTGCCGCGGCCCCCTCCCGCAGCGGGCAAAGGGCAGGGCATGGCACCGGGCCCCCCCACCCCGGCCCTTCGGTGTCCCCAGTGTGTCCTCTCCGTGTCGCCGGCACAGCCCCTTGGCCCGTGACCAAACCTTGCCGGGGATTGCCAAATCCCCTGGGCACCCGCGGAGCTGGAGCTGTGGTGTCCCCATTCCACCCCCCCCCCCCACCCATTTTGCCACCCTCGTGGCTCGGCCGCCGCACATCTGGCGGGCAGCTGAGAACGGGCAGCTCGGTGCAGCAGTGAGCGCCCGAGCCAGAGCCGATGCCGTCCCCCGGCTGTGCCCCCGCGGCCACCCGCATCGCCCAGGGCAGGGTGGGGGCGGCCGAGGGGCCGTGTCGGGGGGCACGGCGCACCCAGCACACGTGGCAGCGGGGGGGCCCCCCTCCATCCCCACCCCGCCCCGGGGGGCCCGTCCCCCGCCCTGCCCCGCCGGAGGGGCCCCCCGCGCTGGCGGGGGTCCAGCCCGGCTCAGACGCTGAGGAATGCGGAGGAGCCGCGGGGGGCATGGGGCCCGGGCGGCGGGGCGGGGGACCCCCCGCCTGCACCCCTGTGCTGGCCGAGGGGCCGGCCCCGGGGGGGTTCCTGTCCCAGGCTCCCAGGGTGGGAGGAGCCGCCCCACAGCATCTCATCACCCCGAGCCTCCCGCGGCCGTGGGGTCAGCCCCATAGGCGGGTCCCTCCTCTTCAGTGGGGGGGTCCTCGCCTGAGCATCCACCTCCTCCCGCCGCTGTGGAGGCTTGTCCCCAGTGTGTCCTCTCCGTGTCGCCGGCACAGCCCCTTGGCCCGTGACCAAACCTTGCCGGGGATTGCCAAATCCCCTGGGCCCCCGCGGAGCTGGAGCTGTGGTGTCCCCATTCCCCCCCCCCCCCCCCATCCGTTCATCCATCCATCCGTCCGTCGGTCAGTCCCCGCGGGCCTGCCCCAGCGAGGCCTTTCCCAGCGGCAGAGGAGGGCGGTGGCAGCCACCAGCCCGGCGGTGACCCGGGCGGCCGAGCCCGCTGGCCCCAGCCCCGGAGGCGGCAGAGCTTCCTCCCCCGCCGGGGCCCCTTCCCCGCCGGCCAACGCCGCTGCTGCCGGGGCCGAGCAGGGGCTGCCGGCCGCACGGCGTGGCACGGAATGGCATGGAATGGCACAACACAATGCCACCCTCGTGGCTCGGCCGCCGCACATCTGGCGGGCAGCTGAGAACGGGCAGCTCGGTGCAGCAGTGAGCGCCCGAGCCAGAGCCGATGCCGTCCCCCGGCTGTGCCCCCGCGGCCACCCGCATCGCCCAGGGCAGGGTGGGGGCGGCCGAGGGGCCGTGTCGGGGGGCACGGCGCACCCAGCACACGTGGCAGCGGGGGGGCCCCCCTCCATCCCCACCCCGCCCCGGGGGGCCCGTCCCCCGCCCTGCCCCGCCGGAGGGGCCCCCCGCGCTGGCGGGGGTCCAGCCCGGCTCAGACGCTGAGGAATGCGGAGGAGCCGCGGGGGGCATGGGGCCCGGGCGGCGGGGCGGGGGACCCCCCGCCTGCACCCCTGTGCTGGCCGAGGGGCCGGCCCCGGGGGGGTTCCTGTCCCAGGCTCCCAGGGTGGGAGGAGCCGCCCCACAGCATCTCATCACCCCGAGCCTCCCGCGGCCGTGGGGTCAGCCCCATAGGCGGGTCCCTCCTCTTCAGTGGGGGGGTCCTCGCCTGAGCATCCACCTCCTCCCGCCGCTGTGGAGGCTGCCCCATCTCAGCGTCCCGTCTCCCGGGACAGGGACACTCACTGAGCTTTCCCTGCCTGCCTGCAGTGGGGCCCGTCCCCTCTGGGGGGTTTCACCCTGCGCCCCACTGCGGGATGTGCCCGTGGACTGTCCCCCCCCGAGCCCCACCACGGCTGTGGGGCTCCAGCAACCCCCATGTGCCCCACAGCCTGGTGGCACAGCTCGGGGACAGAGAGACACAGGGGCAGGACCCCACAGCTTGGGTGGCACAGCAGGACCCCCAGCCCAGGGAGTGGGACGGGGGGCTGGCGGCCCCCCGGCGACGATGGTCCCCCGACGATGGGGCCAGGCAAGGCGTCACTGCTGGTCCCACCACGACGGTCGCGTCCTCACGTCCTCAGGGTTGGGAGGTTGGGGGGTCCCGGTGCGGGCGGTGCTGGGTGGGGACCGCAGCCATCCCCGGGCGGGACGGGTGGGAAAGGGGCCTCCAGCCGCTGACGCCAGGGCTCCCAGCGCGGCCGCGGGCGGGCGAGCGGGAGGCTGCCAAACCACGCGGCCTCGGGAAACGGGGCGCCGCGGGGGCCCCGCCGGGATGGGGACGGGGACAAGCCCTGCGGTGGCTTGGCCGGACGCCCCAGCACCTGCGGCCCCCGAGCGAGGCCCCTGCCCGCTCCTGCCTGCCCCTGCCTGCTCTCCCCCCATGGCCTCTCCTGCCCGCGCCAGGCGCTGCCAGCCCAGCCCCAGCCCAGCTTCCCCCCCGCCACACCAGTTCAAACCAGTCCGTCGCGGGGCTGGGCCCAGGGGCTTCCCAGTCCGGCTGGGGGCGGCTGGGATGGAGCCCGGGCGCGGGGGGAGCCCCTCCATCTCCACCGGCCAGGCTGGGGTCCCCTGGGCCCCCCACACTGCCCGGCCGCCGGCACGGCTGGGGGACCCGGGGTGACCCCGGTGCAGCCGGCGGGGTGCCAGGTCTCCAGGCTGCTGGCATTGCCGGGGTGTCGTGTATCCCCCCTCCAGCCCCAAACCTGCCAGGAATAGTACAGAGGGACCGCGGGCAGAGGCTCCCGCGGCGCGGTGGGCTCGGGGATGGCGGCGGTGCGGGATGTCAGTGCCATCGCCAGGGGACGGTGACCCCGGGGCTCGGGGAGTGGGAGCGGTGCCAGCGCTGCAGGCAGGGCTCGGTCTCCGCCGCCGTGGCAATTGGCAGCGGCAGGCTGGCACCGCCGCGACGGGGGGCAGTCCCCGGAGCCCCCCGTGCCAGGGCAGCGTGGGTGGGTTGGCAGGATGCGGGTCATTGTCCCCACGGCTGCTGGCAGGACACGGGCACCCGTGGGACCCGCCATCGCTGCTTGTCCCACTACAGATGGTGCTGGCACTGCCACAGCCACTCCTCACAGGAGCCCACCGGTGCCTGGCGGGGTTGGGGGGGGGGGGGTCACATCCTGCTGGTAGCTCCATCTTGTCACTGTGGCCCTCCAGCACCCGTCACCCCACGCCAGCCGGGCTGACGGCAGCTGCCAAAGGTGTCCCCAGGAGGGGACATGGCTGAGGTCCCCGAGCTGAGGCCGGTGCCGTGATTCCCCTTTCCCGGGCATGTGGAAGCCGTGCGGATCCTGGCAGAAGGCTGACAGCAGCCCCCTGCCACCCCGGGAGCAGCCCCACAGCAGTGCCGCCAGCGCCAGGGTCCCTGCCACCCCTGCCTGGGGACACAGCTGGAGCAGGCGGGGACAGCAGCGGGGTGGTCCCCAGCACCCAGCGGATCAGCGCCCTGGGTGCGGCAGCATCGTGGGGATGGGGGCACATGGGGACCCTGGCTGGGGGAGGCGGTGACAGCTGGGTGACAAAGGCATGGGAAGGGGAGGTGTCCACTGACTGCAGGGTTTCTCCATGCGGGGCAGGGAACGAGCGCCTGCAGCAGTGCCTAGGGACACCGGGGACAATTTGTGGTCCCCGCTGCTGGCACCTCAGGGAGGGGGGGGTCACACCGTCCTAGTTCCCAAAACACCCTGCAATGGCACAGCCTGGGCTTGGCCACCCCACGCCTTAGCCCCACGAGGCTGTGGGATTGTCACCCCCCATGGCGGGGACTGTCACCTCTCATGATGGGGATCAGGAGGTCCCCGCGAAGGGGACCGGGGTGACGGGCGGCTGCCGGGCCGCGGCACCGCCAGCGTGAGACGGGGATGGGGACGCCCTGCACCCCCCACCCGATGCCACCCTTTCTCCCCTCTCGCACCATGGGGACACTGGTGTGTCCCCGGTGGTGGCCGCAACCGGGCAGAGCCACCCAGCACGTCCCCGCCGCAGCCCCCGCCCCACGGCCAAGGTCAGGACACCCGCCCGGGGTGCGGGGGAACGGCGGGTGACGGCCACCCCCCCGGCACCCACCGGGCAGCGGGGAAGCCCCTTCTCCTCATTTCCCTCGGGGGTGCAGCGGGGCCACGTCCCCCCCGATCCGCTCCCTGGGCGGGGGGGCTGCAGGTGCCAAGGGACCCCCCGCACCCGCGCGGGTGGCGAGGAAGGGGCTCCCCGGAGGGTCCCCCCTCCCCCCGGCGGTGGCAGCATCCTCCTCATCGTCCTCCTCCCCTCCGCGGTGCCCGGAGCGCGATCGTACCTGCGGCGGGGGCTCAGCGCCGGGCGGGAAGCGGGGCGGGGTGCGGGGCTCGGCGGAGCGGGGCCCCCCGGGGCCGGTGCCGGGGCCGGTGCGGGGCGGCCGGGCC